TTATTTATTTATTTATTTATTTATTTAGTGATTTATTTATATATTTCTGCTTTTATTTCTTATTATGTCGGTTTTGGTCCTCCATAAGAAGCCTGATAATCATCTATTCATTCATATCAGGTGTGTTGGAGCAGAGAAGCAAGTAAAACATGCAGGGCTGCAGCCCTCCAGGACCAGGATTGCCCACCCCTCATCTAGAGAGTCTTTTTGAAAGGAGTGTAACGGTACAGAGACAGAACAGGAAGCGACATGGATGATAAGATTAGGGATGAGCTGTGTGGAAAAGCTCCACGGTCACAGAGTGATTGAGTGGAGAAAGATTGTAGATGTTGGTATGGCAAGCACTTGTGTCAAAGAATCTACTCTTTTCTGGCAACCCATTTGTGTACTCATTTGATATTATCTGATATTAAGCAGCGTTTTGTTTCACTCATGCTCAGTTGGTTGAGAAGATTTTATATTTTCACATCCAGAGATGTTCAGTTCTGCTTTTTATTTTGCATCAAGTCTGGATCAAATTAACTGAAGCAAACATTTTATTTTTCTATTTTACTTCTTATTTTTGTAAGATTTTTTTTAAATCAAGAGAAAGACACTTTTAAGGTGTTTATCAGAGTGTTTGTTTGACACAGGGCTTGTAGGTTTGAGTTTTTATTTTATAGTGAACTAACTTTGCTGCCATCGTGGGCTCTTGCTTTGTTTTTCTGTCTGTTTTTGAGAGTTGTGTGTTAAAAAACAACACAAAAAATTAGTATTTGACTTAAGTTTTTCTTTTTATTTTATTTATTTTTTTGATCCATCACATCAAACTGAGGATTAATTCAAATTTGGTCCCAGCATTTTCAGATTTCTGGCTTTTAAAGCTCAGAATCATGCTTTTTGTAACTACTGTGAAAATTCTTTAGGATTATATTTCAGATATTTAATTCAAAAAATAGATAAGTTATTTATTAATTACATTTTATTTTATGAAGTTATCTATAGGTACTATTTCTCCACAGGTCACTCTACGACTTGATCCTCAGTCTGAGGTGATGGGTCACTTATGTGTTTGTTGACTTCTGCAATATATTGTAAGGAAATTCAGATCTTAGTTACACGTTTTTGTTTGTATTTGTGCAGAACTCAGTATTTGGAGAAGGGACCTACCTCACCAGTGACCTCAGCATGGCCCTCCTCTACAGTCCACACAGCAGCAGCTGGAGGGAGAGCATCCTGGGTCCGCTGCTCAGCTGCGTCGCCATGTGTGAAATCATCCATCATCCAGACGTGAAGTGCCAGGTGAAGAAGAAAGGTTAGTTTGAGATGCGCGACAGCAGCAAAATTTCTCACCGCCATCGTATTTTTAGTCATTTTTTTGGCTCACGTTTCCTCGTTCCAGATTCGGACATCGTCGACCGGCAGAGATCACGAGCCAGAAACAGCGAAGGAGGCGATGTACCGCAGAAATACTTCATAGTCACCAGCAATCAGCTTCTACGAGTCAAATATCTGCTTGTCTACTCTCAGGGGAAACACCTGTCCCGGTAGGAACGATCCGGATCAAACTAACAAATGTCTTTTATAGAGTTCTTCTATAAAGGAGAACTCTTTAAATCTTCTGTATCTAGCTAGATCTAGATTCTAGATCAGGGGTCTGCAACATTTACGATTAAAAGAGCCGTTTCTGCTCCTTGGCTCACTGATAAAATTTGTCCAGAGTCACAAAACACGCCACAACTGTGATTATCAACTGCTGGTCCGTGGGCCTTTTCGGGTCCTTTTTGGGAACCTCTACGACTAGTGGCGGTGACATTATAAAACCAAAAAATATATTGTGAATATCATTATTTATTATTATTTTTACACATCAGGACAAAAGAAAATACCAGATTCATGTAAACAAGAAAAATAACTGTTTATAGTGCATACCCAATTTCATAAAAACTAGTACAACTGAACTTTTCAGGCATATTTTATTTCTATTTCTTATTATTATATAGTCTTCAAATTCTTAAGGTAATTTTCATGGATTTGAGAGAAAGATCATAGAAAGAAATTGGAATATTTAACTAAACAACAGCATGAGATAACATGTTTTACTTTTTGTATTAGTAGTATTTATTACATATTTGCATAAAAATTGATTTCTGTTGTGGGTATAAAAAACAAAACAAACAAACTAAATTATTCTATTATGTTTGGTCACATTTTCAAAGAGCCACTGCAGAAGGACCAAAGAGCCACATGAGGCCCCAGAGCCGCAGGTTGCAGACCCCTGTGCTAGATCTTCTATAGAGAAGGTTTTTAACAATGTGAGCAAAGAGGCAAACATGGAAGATAAAACTTGATGCAAAAGGATACATTTTTTATATGTGTAAAGTAGTAACAACCTGATTGTTTTTAATGGAATCATTGCTTTTAAATAATTCAATGCTCAACAAACCTTTTTTTGTGGCAAATATGTAAAATATTTTCACTTTTTGTTGCTGCTTCACTACAAATAAGAACATAAAAGTTTAACTTGAAAAAAAAATACAGAAAAATAATATAAAAAAAGCTCTGGATTAACTACATAATGGCTAAAATAAAGTCTTTTTCTTCTTCAGGCGTTCCCACAGCAGGCCGTGGCTCCTCAGGCACCACTTTGCCGTCATGATGGGTCTCTACCTTCTGCTGCTCGTCTTCATCGGTGCCTTCAACTCCACCACCTTCCTGTCCTTCTGGAACAGGCTGTTCAGGTGACCAGAGGACCAGGATGTTGGACCAGGATGTTCGTCAGCCGCCGTGCCTTTCTGATCGGACTGCAGGCCTGAGCAACTTCTTATGCACCTTTAACACAGTTTCCCTTTACTGTAGTCCTCGTCTTTATTTGTACAAATAGTTTTATTTACTGTTAATAAAAACTGACTTTAAAGAATATTACGCTTCTACCTGTAATTCAGTGAAAATTCAGTTCTTGTGGGAAATTTCTGCTGCTAACCAGAGCTAGCTGCATATTCAGGGGCCTCTTGTAGAAGTGGCGGTGTGAAATTAAATGACACACATTTTGTCATAAACTGCCACAAACACAGTTCATTAGTACCTTGACTTATAAGTGTCCCAACTAACCAGTTTTTCAAGATACTATGATGATTGTTTTGAGTTGAGAGCTAAAGTTTGGGTTACGAGCCATCTTCATACACCCCCACCGCCAGTTGTCGCAACATCCGCCCATCATCCCATGTCTCACTTGTTTGTTGTTAGTGGTTAGCTCGCAGCCGTAGCATCACTATGCTCATATTTGTGCTACAATTTATTTTCAGTTCAGCCTTTCTCCTCCATCAACATCTTTCAAGTCGTCTGATCTCCAAGGTAAATGCTGTACTTTATACTTCATTAAACCAGTTTGTGCAGTACGTTCTATTGTATTGTGTTTTTATTAATAACAGTCAAGCTGCTATTAGAGCTCTCCAAGGGCAACACTTTACATCTTTACTGGCTTGGGAGAGTGTCGAAGCATCAACTATGGGGAGAGACAACAGTTACTATTCATTGGGGACCAGGACATACTGGCATTAATGGTAACGATAGAGCTGACCACCTTGTAAAAGTTGGCAGCCAGGCCCACTTCAGAGGACCAGAGCCTGTTGTAGGTACCTCAACAACAGTCTGTAGGACTGGTCTGCAGGCCTGGATCAGACGTCTGGAGGGAGCTGACTGACTGTCGACAGGCGCAGGAACTGATAAACGGGCCAAATCTTAGGTTTGGGAAAGCTCTCATCACCCTGCTCAACCACCACAAAATGGTGACTAGGCTCCATGACAATGGTCTGTGTGATACCCGTGGCATTGAATTAGAGACCTCTTTGCACTACTTAGACCACTGCCTGGCTCTGAGCAGTCAAAGAAAATAATTTTTGAGACCTTTATGGATCCTGAGAAGCTCAGAACACTGAGTGTTTCTAATCTTGTGTCCTTCATCCGAGGGACGAGAAGGTTTGAATAAAGACCAGTGTCTTTTTGGGGAGAGCAATGGGTCCACTTACTAGGCCCCCAGCTTCTTTATTCATCCCCACAAATATTATTATTATATTATTACTGTGACCATTGTGTTTTACAATATAAGTTTAAACATAACAGAAAAACAGTTGCAGACTTCTTAGCAGGATCTGAAATGGATCATTTGCATTTCAACTCATTTCTATGGGGAAAACTGATTTAACACACGAGTGATTTGAGTTATGAGCTCCATAAACTCATAAGTCAAGCCTCCTCAGCGCCTAAGTTTTAGTTTGACAATCAATAAACCTGCATAAATAGTAAATGTTAGAAGTGAAGTGAGTTTTCTTGTTATTGTCAGGTTTTGTGTTTGAGCACGGATAAACTCAGACGGGCTCGTTTATTGCAGCTGGCACGCACACACAGTCCTCTGTTATCAGAGGCTTTTGTCTGTTAAAGAAAAGAAAAAGTCAGATGGATAACTAAGTCTGATAGCGGAGGCGGCGCGCTTTGATCTCAGATCCTGTCATCCTAATAGACTCCTGATAAAAACAATATGAAGCCACAGAAGCTGAAGCGATATAAAATAACATGTTGAAATTATCGCACACCTTTAAAAATGGTGTTTTGTATTAATTTCAAACATGCTGTTATGTTAAACTTGAAATATTGAAATGAGCAGTAAATCATGAGGGTTTTTAGAGGTTAGTTTATTGTCATAATTCGACTCCTCCCTCCTCTGCCTCTGGTTTCCTCACAGAGTCATCCTGCCTGAAGATGAAAGCCTTTGTTTCTGCTCGAAAATGTCTCTCTTCTTGCGAAATCCTCCAGATAAACTTTCTTCCTCCGAAGCAGCTCGGTTGTTGAAGGCCAGAGAACAAGCTGCTCATTGTTGGGTCAGAACTCATAAACTGCCTGTTATTCAGTAACTCTCACCAGAGAGGAGGGATGGCAGCGTTGGATCAGCTCTTATGTCAGGTGTGGGGTTTGAAAACCGATGGACTGAAGACAGACTGATGAAAACGTTATGGATTTGTTGGTATTTGATCACAAACACTAAAAGTCTCAGAACTCAAGTCCACCTGTAGATTCTGATTTATGTGTGTCCAGGAAAAAATCTGAACTGCAGATTATTTATGTAGCAAGTTGCTGGGAGAGGAACAGAAAGCGTGATTACTATTTCTGTCCTGCACTACACTTTTACCAAGTGGGGGCACCAGGTCAGTTGACTGATGAGGAACCAGCTTTGTCTTTTATGGTAATTTATTACAAAAATATAGCAAGAATCAATTTAATTTAATCATGAATAAAAACAGTAAAAATAACATGAAACACGAAGCAATAAGGTTTCTAAACCGTAAAGGTGAAAATTATTGTAGACGATGTTATACGTCTAAGTTAAGATTAGGACTGGATGTTTAAACCTTTATAGAAGAAGAATATTTTCCCAAAATGAAATATTGTCTTCTATTAATTAATTGACAAGAGACCCAGGTTAAAACAAGGTGGTTTGCATTTTATTTTCCTCTAGTTATTTAGAATTTGTAGAACTTCCTAAACAAGAAACAAACTGTTTTTGAGCACGTAGAGTTGAATATAAATATACATTATGTTTAAAAAAGAATTTGTAACTATCTATCCATATATATATGTATATACAGTATATATACATACATACAATTAGAAGATTTATTGGCTTTAAACTTGAGAAACTTAATGGCTTTTTTCTTCTTCAAGTTGAAGACATATATTTGACTTTTTAAAGAAAAAAAGACAAAAAGTCTGATGTAAGGACAGTTAATGGTATAACGTGTTTGAACTGTTGTAGCAGTCCAAATCTTATCTGTTCTGGTTTATACACAACAGGAAGTCAGTAATATTACATAAAAATGGAGAGGTTGAGCACCATCCAGGGATAACTGGTATAAGTGGGTTAGTAGAGCTAAGCCCTCCATGATGTTTAAAATTAAGAAGTTAATATACCTAAAAAAAAAAAAAACATAAATTACAAATAATGTATCACATTTTTGTGAAATTTACAACAAAAAAAAGGTGGTCCCAAACAGTCTGGAGAAATCCCAGTCTTTCCAAACGCTAGCTTTTCACAGCTTTGTTCATTTAATGTCTTATGTAGGACAGAATGATTGACAGACTTCTTGTCCCGCCCCCTCAGTTTGCAGCAGCAAATTGCAGGGGCAAAATTTTAGGGGCTAATTTTGTTCAGCCTAGAGTCAGCCCAAGGCCACACTGAGGGTGGACGTACAATAATGTGCCTCGAGTTGAGCTCAGGTGGTTTGGTGTGGACTGATGGTGAGCAAGATAAAGGAGGTGGTAGATCAGATGGCAAATCCTTAACTTTCAGATAGCAAAAGTTTTCAAATTATTATTTTAGAACCCAACAGAGACACAACTGCCTGATAAACTGGCCAAATAAGAATTAGTGTGACGCAGCCATCATAAATATAACTTTTACCGGTAAGTAAAAATGTCTCCCAAGAAAACACTGAAGACCTGCTTCAGCTCAGAAAACTACAAATAAATACAAGACAAAAATCAGACAGTAGATGACCTCAAATAAGTTTATTTATCAAATTGAAAGTTTTCATTCTTCAACAAGTTAGATTTTTTTACATTATAAAACAAGGCTGTACAAAGTGTTTTAAACTGGACCCTCTTTGACCAGATAGCTGCCTTCCTCCATGAAGCCTTCCTCCTGGTTTCTTCTTATCCATCAGTCATTACCTGCTCGAGTTTGTGTGCAAACACTCAGGAACTAAACACACTAACGTCCCCTCAGTCTAGATTAATAAAAAAAAAACAAACACAAGTTAGTTTTAACACCATTACAAAGAAAACAAGTTTAATCCCTTTTGTTTTTGTATGTTTGGTGTGTTTCTCTGAGATCGCTCCTACCTGCAGGTCGCTGCTGCAGACAGGAAGTGAACGCTCTCCCAGGTGGTTCTGCACACACCTCCCAAAGTGCTGCAGGCAGGTGGAATCGGACGAGGCGCAGGTATGATGGCACGACGGCCGCCTCAGGAGGAGGCAGCTGGAGCAGGAGGTGTGCTGGCAGGAGCCCTGACACGCTTTCTTCTCCAGAGACACCAGCCTGCAGGAAGAAGAACGTCAGGTTTCTGTTCACACAGCCACGGGAACATAACCAGAAACACCCACATGAAGAGGATCACACCACCGCATCTGGACATATATTTTTAAAAACGGCTGTATTATTTTGATAAAACTATAATCACAACCTGATACTAAAAGCTCAAACACAAGTCTGGTTTATAGCCGGCGGTTTAAATTAAATCTGGTTTATTTACGAGCTTCCTCTCAAATCCATCAGGATGACCTTTAAAAACCTTAAAGGTAAAAAAACACCTGCATATTTCAGTTGTAGTTTTTAAATTTGGTTTATTTTTCTTGTTAACATGAATACGTTCTTTTCTTTTGTCCTATAATTATATAGCCTGGCCCTTGCCTCCCTGCGCAGCTCCGCTCAATTCTAGTTTCCCTTCACTGCTCCTTGTACGAAGCAAAGTGAAGGACAGGGTCTGGTTTGAACCTGACTAATTATAATAAACATTAAAATTTCCCACATAGTTTTATAATGTGACCCACACTGACTGGAAAGGCCCCTCTTCAACAAACCCAAAGTGGCCCACAGACCACCAGTTGATAATCACAGTTGTGGCACGTTTTGCGTCTCCTGACACATTTATTAGTGAGCCAAGGAGCAGAAATGGATCTATGATATCACATAACTAGTGATAACTAGACAGAAAGAAAATCAATTCAAAAATGATCAAACGATGGTTTTAAAGTTAGTTTTTGAGGAAAAGGTCATGAGCGTGGGGTCACCTGGCTGAGCAGATGGCAGAGGGGTTGGACTGACAGTAATCCCTGGTGCACGCTGGCTTGCAGCTCTCTGGATCCAGTGGTTCGATCACTGTGCAGCACAAAGAAAACACTGAATCTGTAAAAACACTGTTTACTTCTTATCATGAGCAAAAAAAGAAAATCCCCTCACTGGTCGCAGGATGTCTGATACCATATCAATAAAGGTGGCAGTTCGGTTCATGGTGGACAGATAAGGAGAATAATTATGTGAGCGGAAAGCTTTTGATCAAAGGAAACCTTGAGCAGACTATCAGTCTTCACAGCTCGTAATATTTTTTATCACGCTGGCACTGTTCCCATTATAACCAGGAATGAGCTCCAGTGTTTACTCTGGTTTGAGTGTTTCCAGTTTATGTAAATCTGCTTGGCCCAAAATGTAAGTAAATTAGTGTTTGGTAGATTATTTCTTTGTTGTCACAATGCTTCTTGGTGAAAAATACATAAATGATCTTGGTGATCCCTTTGCATTCTTGGTTGATTGAGAAGGAACTGAAGCTTTTATTTTGTTTTGTTTCTTGATTATAATTGCTTGAAATTAATTATGGGAAAAAAGGGGCAGATATAAGATTATTTCTTCTTTCTGCCTCCTTTCAGTTCAATTTGGATTTGTATATTTTTTGTTGTGTATATTTTTT